TGAGTCTTGGGCTTTCCCCTCTTATCTGAAAGAGCTGCCTCCCTTTCCTACCATCTGGCTGCTTCTCTGAGCCACTCCCAGGAAACCTGTCTTGGCAGAGGAACGGCTGTAGGGGCTAACTCCTTACACCCTTGTCATTGACGCCTGGCAGAAATCATGTTGGATCAAGGACAGCCCGTTTTCCTCCCAAAAGATTTCAGGGCTCTGGACCCTGTATGTGCTGCATGACCTTCTAGACCTTTATGATTCTCAGGGTCAAAATCCTCAGTGTCCAAGCACATTCTCTGTTGCTTTAAAGTACCAATCAATGGTTATTTATAAAGAGATCCCTGTTTGATTTCCCATTAATCTGCTGGACACCATGAGGTACAAAAGCGACAAAATGGAATTTCTAATGTAAAGAGCTTATAATCTAGTTGAGAAAATGTGACAGCCATGTGAACTGATTCCTAAATAAGGAACAGTTCTAATAGTATGATGACAATGCGTCAAGCTGTAGTATTTATAATAAATTGTGAGGAATCTATAATTAGAGAAGAATCTGTAATAAGAATTTGTTTAGTAGAGGCAGTCAAAGGAGTTAGATGACTGCACATCCTGGGTGGTTGTATTGTTCCTGTTTATTAAATAAATCATTTGTAATCTCTATTCCTAACTTATTTTATAGTTATAACCTCTTTTTAACAAATATGATTATAGCAGCCAGTTCTGTGTAATAAAAATATTTCTTCTGCTGGCCAACAGCCCACACTAACACTCTTTGCCTGATGGAGATCCAAGACCCCTTTTGAAGGGAAAACCTGGTATGAGAAAGACAGTCACAAATCTCTCTCCATTTGTCAGTAAATCTACTTGACAAGAAGGTCATCCTTGCAGCAGAATATTGACATAAAGTATAGGTTTGCATATTGGGACAGTTGTTAAATAACTCTGCACAGAATTTTACTTTTTTAGTGTTGTGCTGATTTGACTTGGGGCTTGTATACATCTTCTCCGACTAAAAGTTGTGACCACTATTGGTTCATCGAGCTCCTTGGGAGCTGATCAGCTCTGGGAAGTGGACTGTGGGAATCTCATTTCAGGTCTTTGAGGGCAGCAGCTCCCCCCACCACCCCCACCACATGCCAGCAAAGGCAGCAGAAGACGGCATGTATGTCCTGCCCTTCCCCTCCCAGCTGATGCCTTGTGCTAATAGAAGAAAGCAATCACCTTCCCATTGTCCAAAAGCTGCTTTTCACTTGTCTTAAAGTGTTTTTGTAATTATCTTAGAATACAGAAGTACCTAAGTGAAATCTGGAGAGTTCGTAGTATATGAAGGAATGGAATCGTAAGTCTACTCCGTGTCTCTGTGACCATAGGCATGTGGGAGACAGCCCGGGTCTCTGCATTTACATCAATACTTTCTTGATTTGGAAGACTAGTATGTCTGTGTTTGGGTTAAGACGCCCTCCTGCCAAGCTTCAATTAGGTGAGGCTGGTAAAGTAAATAAAAGGTAATGGATTGTGTCCATACATGACTTCATTCCACCCTTTGAATGACTTTATCAATAACTGCTAGAAAGTGAGACTCAGAAAAACTGTGTCCAGCATGTGCCTCCAGCCAGCGGAGAGCCAACTTCATTTCCTAAGGCTTTTGAGGTGTGCCTTTACCATTGGATGTATCCAGTGTAATTTTTCTAAAATGATTAATGTTTTCTTTGTCTAGGCTTATGCTAAGAGTCAGCCCAAGCTTCTTGAGTTGTGTGAAACTCACCCACAGGTAGCAAGCACCTCGGGGCTCACAAGCGTTGTACGTTCATTTCTCACGGATGGTCTACATTTGTTTTCTCTATACTCATTTTCTCTGGCTGCCCTGTGAACCCAAATTTAAGGACTGTGTTTAACTGCATGTTGGGGTAGGATATATGGCGGAGGGGTGTTCTGAATCGCTTTGTATCAAATCTAATTTTTGTCCCAGTTTTTCCGAAACAATTTCCTATTTTTAAAACTGCTGCCAGTAGTGGAAATTCGGAATCTACAGTTATCCTGGAGTAGTAAGAGAAAGATTCAGAAATTATATTTGCAGAGCCTCGTTCCTTTAATGATTCTCCCTAATTAGACCCCAGGGCAATGACTTACTCTTCATTAGTTGAATATTCTGCATTTCCTGACATCTCGCTGCCCCCTAGTGCAGCATGCTAGTGAGTGCATCTTTCTCTGCAGACATTCTTGATTTGCATTATTTCTGCCTGATAGTCTGTTTTATGCTTACCTGGCTTCTGGCAGTGTGACTTGACACTAATCCATGACACTGACAAAGTCCATTGTGGGTCCTGTTTTGCCAGGTAGATCCTTTTCTGGGGAGCAGGAGTTTGGGGAGCTAGCGAGTACAAGTGGGAAACGGAGTCTCCGCAGGACTATACTCTCCAGACCCCTTCCAGTGGAGAAATCGGGCCCAGAATTTTCAGCATAGGACCATTAATCAGAGGAACAGAGCTTGCGCTAAGGTGCATCCCGACCAAAGTAACAAGAACACCTGGCTTGGAGAGAGACAAGCTTGGGAAATTTCCTTAATGTCTTTGAGCCTTTGTAAAACTATCATTGATTAAAAAATAAAATAAACTTAAGATGTCTTAAGGATTTACTACAATATCTATTTTTGAAGGTTTTTTCCACTTTAACATGTGATACAGATCTTCATCTATTGTGTTTATTATGAATGAAGTAGCCATTAGCTGCAATTCAGGCCTTATGGAAAGGCGTTGTGACCCCAAAGACTTGCTCTCAAAACTGTTCTAAAATGATCTCAAAATTGTAAGCCACGTATGTGGTCTCCATGATGTTCTGCCAAGATGACCTCGAACAAGTTGTTTGACTTTGTTGGACCTCTGTTTTTCCATCTATAAAGTATTAGCGCTCCTATTTAAAGGGATTACTCAGGGATTCGGTGAGATAGCATATGCCTGGCACATGGCAGATTTCAATCATTGTTAGTTCCTGCCTCCTCCTCCCTTATTTTTTTCTGGCCTGAAATAGTCAACACCTGCCTTTGACACCCGATACAACTGGGTAGGTGGTGGACTACTACAATGCCCTTGTTCTGATTTATCCCCCCAAGGAGTGGAGAGGCAGCCCTTCCTTGTCACTGTTAGCTTTCAAATACCGGCAAGGACCTGTGCAGCGGGGAGGGTGTGAGGTAGAGGTGGTCATTAGAATCTTCAGTGGGGGAAAGTGTAACTTGATGGGAAGTTTGGGGTATTGCCTGCTTAGGAACCATGTGTACTGTATTGTGAGAATATAAGAGATTTTCGTCTTTCAATGATTAAAGTTGAGATTTTGACTGTGGGAGTAGACAAGAGAAAAGAAAGGCATCCCATGTGGGAAAGGTCGTTTTGTGATAGTGGAATTTTTTCCCAAAAGAATACATTATAAATGTCATACTAACTTTTCAGAGTCAGAATATTAAAACAAAACAAAAGAAAAAGAAAAAACAGATGCTCAGTCTTCCTATGGTGAATTACAAACAAAAACTGTCTTAAACTCAATGTAACAGAGGGAAACACATTGAACCACACTGACATGTCCATACACACACACACACACACACACACACACATTTTGTAGGTAAAATACACATTTTTATGCTTTCATGTGTGGTTTTTGTTTTGGATTGACAATTGGGCAGGTTTTGTTAGGTAGCTAGTAAGTTTCCATGGAAAGAAATAAGAGATTTTTAAGGATAGTGATTATTTGATGGTAAGGAGGTATTTGCACTAAAGTCTTTTCTCCCACCTATACCCTAGTTCTGTCATCACCCTGACCATGGACTCGACAGAAACCAGAGAGAACCACAGAAAATTATGCATTTCATTACGTTTGTGTAAAATCTCTTCACGTCATCTTAGACATTGTTTCGGAATCCACTGATTCCGGAAGTGTTACTCTATTTGAATCAGATCTCTAGAGGGATGTTAGGTTTTGCCCTGTCTAACCCCTTTATGATATAAATGGGGTTGGTAAGGCCTGGAGAGGTCACATGGCTGGGGTGCCCTCCTTTATTATTTATTTCTCTTTCCAAATGTCTTTATCACGTTTGCTTATTTCATTTCCCCATAAGATTGTTAACGTAAGGAAGCCATAGACGTGGTAGGCATGATGAGTTTGACTCTCAGCACCACAGTGGATAATTCAATAAATTCCATTCTTAATCTTCAGGGAACTGCTTCTTCCCAAGAGAAATTACAATAGAGAAAGGGATTACTGAATAAGAATATTGTCTTTAGTAACGTTTTTTAAAAATTATTTGATGCAGCATTTCATGTCCAAGTGTTATTTTTTAGCCTAAGTCCTGGGAAGGGAAAGGACTCGTTTGTGAATTAACAATGAAATTCTTGTGTTACACGAAGAGGAAAAGATGTGTTCTAGTTCTGTGCTTTACAACAACTTCAGGGATTACATTTTTACCCCATATAAAGGACCATTTGGCAACTCATTCACTATTACCCAACATTCAACAAGTATTGATCAAGTTCCTCCTATGCCTCTAGCACTATTTAGAGTCTTAGAATGTATTGGGGAACAAAAACAAAGATTTCTGCTTTCAAGATTATATCTTAATATATATTTGTAACATATGAATGAACCATTTCTTCCAAATACCAAATTTTTCTTGGACAGCATTCTAGTGAAAGCATGTCATTTTTTTAAACACTGTCTTCCTTAAAATGAAAGGTCTAGTTTCTCATGAAAATGGTTGTGGTTTTTTTGGTTTTTGGTTTTTGGTTTTTGGGGGGTTTTTTTGGTCTAGTTGCATGAAATTTGGCACAACACTGCCGCCTTGTGGCTACTTGAGTCAGGAACTTACACTATGTGGTCAGCTTTTGTCTTTTAAGGTGAAGTTTAAACGCAAAATTATCTTGTTTTAGTGGAACCCTTTGACACAAAATTACCTACCTACCCAGGATTTAGAATTAATTCCTTCTGGTTTTTTTGTTTGTTTGTTTGTTTGTTTGTTTTAACAGAATGATTGGAAGGGTTCTGTCACTTTTATAGTTGGAAACCGGATTGAGGACGATCTTCTCATCAGAGCTCTCACCCTTGCTGTCCAGGTCCCTCAGCGGAAATTGTTCAGTATCGTGTCCTGGCAAGACATTCTCCAGCAGGTATCTGTCCCTTCTCACCTCTAGGCCCCGTGAAGACTTTTGTGCTTAAAATAATAGAATAAAATAATAAAATAAGTACAACTATCAGATTCTTGGGCTTTTCGGTAAATTGGGGTGGATTATTTTAAACAAAACTTAGCTAGAATAAATTTGCATTGTTTAACTGGGAAGAATTATTTTGGCCCATTATTTAGGCCCACTTAGGCCCTTTCAGCACTCATTCATTTGACAAAATTCCTGTGGCCATACCAGGCTCCATGCTAGGCTCTCTGAAGAATTGTTTATTCAATAAAAGACTTAATAATAATAAAAGCCTAAAATATTTACTGTTCCAGGGAAGTCAATAGCAAGAGAAATTACGACTACAGAGAAACCTAGCTGTCAGAGGACAGAGAGGAATGACCACACAGAAAAGTCCTGTCAGGTGGCCCATACTCACGTGATTACTAACAGCTTACCAAAGTGACTATAAATATTTTGCCTAGTTAGTGAATATCTCTTCCTTACTAGGTTTTTCAACCCTAAAAGCCACCTAGGTAATTGAAAGTTACATATATCTAAGTATGCTTTAAGTATGTCTTTCTTTCTCATTGTGGATGAATTTAATTTTCTTACAGATCAATGAATCAAATGCATTTCTTGGAACTTCATCTAAAAAGGCAAAGAAACCTCTAGGCGGTAGTGCTCCCTTATATCATGAGGTAGGTGGCTGTCTTTATTGAAGATATGTTTGTAATTTTTAGAAAATGAGAATTGAAGTAATAATCTTGTACTCACGTTACAAAATTTTTTTTTAAATTCATTCTTTGAAAGCAAATTCTTGCTCCTCATTGGAACTGTCTGATGGTAAGCACTTAAAAAAATCTGCCTCTCTTGAAAAAATCCCTCTCTAGGAATAAAATTGTCCTAGATTGTCTACACCACCACTGTATCCAATTAAGGACTATAAATCAGAAATTTTTATATACAAAAGAGTTGGGTCATACTTTTTCCTGGTAATTATTAAGTGTGTGATGGTATTAAAGGGAGCTGTATGATTAGTGTATTGCAAAGTGTTATTTTCACCAAAGGAACAATGTAAAAATGGCTCAGAAAGTGTTTCCTGTACAAGACTAAGACACAGCTGTTATAATTTTCCACGAGTCAGCGAGATTTGGGCACATTTTCCATCCTATTTTAACCGACATGAAAATAATGACAATTTTCAGGTTAATGATCCATTCTGTATTTCTAGCAGATGCTTAACATGAAAGTCTGGCCTGGCTGACCATTGGGTTTATGGAAGGACTTAGAACTCATGCTCAGTGCAGGGGGATTGCCTCTCATGCTGCCTTGTTAATATCTAACTTACAGCTCACAAGAAGCTATAAAAATTCAGTGGTTAATTAGAATATCACTTAAAATTTGTCAGGCACTGTTTTATGGCTCTTCAGACTGTAAGTGTAAGGATTTTTGGATCTTTCTAAGACAAACTTGTTTGCACTTTATTTCAGTGATCTAATAAAGTTTTTTATGTGTCTCGGGTCTTGGATGATTTCCTAATGGACTCTTTAGTATTGTCTGAGTACTATCAGAACAAGTTTCATTAGATTTATTTATACTTGACAATAGTGTGGATTTTATAGCATTAACTCTTGCTACGCTACTCTCACTATCAGGAAAAATTGATTCTGTGCTTTTGGAGTCAAATAAAATACCTTCTACCTTTTGTTACGATGTTCTCAGTGTGCGTGCTCCAGTTGAAACATTATGTGATACTTAAAATATTGGAAGTTTTCTTCTGAAGTAGCCATAGAAATCCCTGTCCAATTCTTGGGCCTGGGACCAATTAGCCCCCCAAAGGACTCTTTCTTCTTCAAAGATGCTCAGTAAAAATCAGAGATGATAACAGGCCAGTTTTGATGTCTAATCTGGACAGACATTTTGACTTGGATGTGGGATAGCACAATGTTACAAATCCAGAGTTCAGTTAGAAAGCCATTCCTCTCCAATATGTGCTGTGACTCTGGGTTGTGAATCCTTCACTCAGGGGAGGTCCATTTCACATCTGGCTCTACCACATTCTTCCAGTGGAGCATTTGGGCTGTAAGCCTCCCACACCCACTCACATACCCTTTCCTGAATGGTTCCAGAAGAAAAGGGAAGGCGGATGAGCACCACAGAGATTGGTTCTTGGGTATACCACATATGCATCAACATCAATTTGCTTTGGTAAAAAGAGATATAGAACATAAAACCAACTCAGTCTCCTGATCAGCATCAGTCAACAACAGAAAGCACATCTGGAGAAGAGGGCACATTTCCAGTCTTAGTCCCTTCACACTTAGGACCTGTTTGGGAACTCTGTCGCTTGGGACCTCATCCCAAGTGAGTTGAAAAGCTGCTGGCAGTGCCTACTGAGAACCCCAAGGTGGTTGTGATAGTGAATGGTGACCTTGAGAGAGGTCCAGACCCAAACGCTTCTAGGACTTGTGAACTTTTAAGACTCACAAGTCTGTTTCTGCCTGAAGTCTGGCACAGTCTGTAGCAGCTAGGACACTGGCCGCAGTTAAACTCCTCAAGAGCCTCTTTGCAAGGTCTTATGTTTTCTTTCTCCACCCTGGGGAAGAAAAGGTCATCTAAGAAATTTGTTTATGCTGCATGCAATATTGGTAGAGTTCTGTGTCTTCCATTTTGGAGGGGAAAGCTCAAGAAACAGGAACTCTGAAGGCCATACCCTTACATTTATGTCCATTTGTAGGCCACTCTCACTGGCCTTAAACTGGAGCCTCGTCGTTCTCACTTTAAACATAGTTCTAACCAGTTCGGCTTTCTGGATTCCTTGCCTGCAGTCAATTAGGAGCAGCAAATTAAAGTGAAATGTCACCATAGTGCAGTTCATCCATGAGTAGTAAAATAGCGTCAGAACCACATTACATATTTGCAATAACGACTTGAAATGTCTGGGCTAGCAAAGACCACATTCCTAAGTGATTTGCTCAGGCTTTCACTTGGATGGCTTGGTGTTGTGTACACACAGCCTCATTCTGAAATTGTGTAATTTCCCACTGAAACTTTAGAGTTCATGTAGCCATAGGATTGTATATATGAGAGAGAGTCTTTATTTATAAACCACAGTTCTTTGAAAATGTGCTTAGATTGTGCTAATGTGATTCCACAGAGACTCGGCTACAGCTCATTTGTTCATTCACCTTCTCTTTTTGGAAACCATGTTCTGCTCTAGCAGGAACTACTCTAAGGACCCCTACGGGAATGGGAAGAGAATGTTCTCTTTTGTGCATGGTCTCCGGGATGTTATCTATTCCTTTATTATATTATTAGTAGTAGTTGTAGTATTTAAAAACAAGGATGAAAATTATGATGATCCCATTCACTGGCCTTACATATGAACATAATTTCCAGCTTGTAATCCTATTTGAGGCTGTGGACTTATATGAAAGTGGATATACAGATATTGTCTGCATTATATAGTCACCAGCTTTTACCAGATAGTGGTACTTTATCAAATACCAAACAATTAACAAGTACATTCTTGTTCAACACTAGGGGGATTACACACTATATAGACAATGGGGGAGAGATGAATATTATAAAGACTCTAACCTCAAGAAGCTTAAGGATTAGTTAGGAGGGGGAAAAGGAAAAAATATATCCTAACACATAGTAAATGGTCAAAAAATGTTTGTTAAAGAAATGAAGGGGTGCCTGGGTGGCTCAGTTGGTTAAGTGTCTGCCTTCAACTCAGGTCATGATCCCAGGGTCCTAGGATAGGGCCCTGCATTGAGTTCCCTGCTCAGTGGGGAGAGGAGCTCCCTCTCCCTCTGCCCTTACGTCTGCTTGTGCTCTCTCTCTCTCAAATAAATTAAGTCCTAAAAAAAAAGAAGAAGAAGAAGTGAATAACATACTGCATTGAAGCCCATGAGGAACAGATGAAGTGTTATGGGCATTCAAAGGAAGATGAAATTGCCATGAGAGTAGGATTATGAGTGGGATCTAGAGAAGCCTTGTGGAGAAGATGGCATAGGGAGGGAAAGGAAGGGTAGCTAATTTTGATCTTTTATATATTAAAAGATCAGTTGGTTGAACACCCGACTCTTGATTTTGGCTCAGGTCATGATCTCAGAGTTGTAGGATTTGGCCCCGTGTTGGGTTCCATGGTGCTGAGTATGGAGACTGCTTAGGATTCTTTCTCTCTATCTCTCTCTCTGCCCCTCCCCAACTCACACTTTGTCTCTCTCTATCTCTCGAGTAAATAAATGAATAAATAATTCTGATTAACCCATATCACAATTCTTAAAGGAGATATAAATATTGCCATTTTACATATAGGGAGATGGAGATGTGGAGAAAGTAGGAAGTTTATTAATTAGAATATTGAAGAACTGGGGTTTAGCCATAGTTGAATCCATAGACTCAAGTTGTTCTTCTTTACCACAAACCCAGGATTTTTCCACTAGGCTCTAAGCTGTCCACCCTTGGATGAGTAGGTCTTGGCAGTCTTGACGTTCAAATGTGGGAGAGGGCCTTCCAAGAAAAGGGAAAGCTCAAGCAAAGGCATAGTTGTGGGAGAAGAGTGTTTTTTTTTACTCTAGTATTTACTCTAAATAAATTTAGAGTACTAAATTTATAATTACCTGGTATAAGATATATACTTAGTAGGAAGGGTAAATTCTATATATGCTTTAATTGCATCTTTAAAATCCTGAAGATGAGTATCTATGAGAAAATATTTCAAGTACGCAATAAAATCCATGCTTTAAGATCAACTCCCGAACTTAAATTTATTTGCTAAATATGCACAAATATTTGGCTGCAAGTGTCACTCACTTCGATGGCCCACAGAATCTGATTTGTTCATTTGCAGGTTTATTCAGTCCTGTCCAAAATCAAAAAGGAAAATAGTAGGAATCATTCAAAGCTGATTGAAATGTTCCCTATGTGACAGGTCTACATGTTCCATACATGCAAAGATTCTCCCACCTGTGTTTAACCTGATATACAGTATGTGTGCATTATTAAGAGATATACAAATTTTGGACATTGTGACTTTGATGAATTAGAAAGAAAAAACTACCCATTGGACAGGGGTTTGTTAATTCAACTTCTCTGAAGTCAGGGTCAACAGTTTTAACGTTTTAGACTCCACTCTATGTTTGGCTTTGTTTCACGATGGTGATCATCATACCTTCCAACCCAGCAATAAGCAACCATCCAGACATGGGCTGTAGTTTGCCCACCTGTGATTTATTCAGAAAAGAAAAATTAGATCACTGCAAAAAAACTTTGAAAAACACAAAAGCTTGCTGAAACAAAAAACATCTATAAAGAATAAACGTTTGTATGCCCTAGTTGGTGACTCACTTATTTTAAAAATTAATCAATTCTATGCAACAAACAACCAAGACAGTCTGAAAGATGATGTGATACGGTGTAGTTTTATGAATACGAATAATTGTGAATTTTCCTCTTTATTCTTACCAGTTAAAAAAAAAAGATGTTATTTTTTAACTGACGTTATTTTAACTAAAATATTTCTGTGGGCTTTTTTATTGGGAGATGATTAAATATGGAAAGATTCTTCTGATGTTGGATTTGAAAGTAATGAATCAAATGCAGTTTAAGAAGATACAGGTTGCAAATTTTATATATAAAGATCTAATTAGTTTCATCACGTTCTTAAGATACTTGGCAGGTACATTGG